AGGGAAAGTCCCTCTGAAAGCCGCCATCACTACCACGCGGCTGCTAATAGACCCGCACCCGCTTTCTCGCCCTCCCAAGCAGGAAGGGAAGGAAATGCGGCTGTATGTTCCACACCGCAGAAATAATCCGCTTTAACTGCCATGGCTCCATGCTCTGGAGCAGGGGTAGGCAACCTTTCCCCTTTAAGGGCCGAGGGACTTCAGCTCCCAGAAGCCTCAGCCATGTTGGCCAATAGCTCCTGGGATTTTGGGAGCTGAAGTCCCTCGGCCCTTAAAGGGGAAAGGTTGCCTACCTCTGCTCTGGAGTCATGGGAATGGCAGTTTGTTGTTCTGAGAAGGGTAGTTTGCTCCGTGGTATGGAATTCTGGGAGTGGTAGTTGGGAGCTCTGGTGCCACAACAAACTATCATTCCCAGAATTCCAGAGCATGGAGCAGACTACTATTTCCTGAACAGCAAACTACCATTCCCACAATTCCAGAGCAAGGAGCAAACTACCATTCCCTGCATAACACTGCCATTCCCAGAATTCCAAAGCAATGAGCAAACTACCATTCTCTGAACAGCAAACGACCATTCCTAGGATTCTGTAGCATGGAGCAGACTGGACAAGTCATTCCCAGAATTCCATAGCATGGAGCAGACTACTATTCCCTGGACAAGTCATTCCCAGAATTCCATAGCATGGAGCAGACTACCATTCCCTGAACAACAAACTACCATTCCCAGAATTCCAGAGCATGGAGCAAAGGCAGTTAAAGTGGAGTCAACCCGGATTATTTCAGCAGTGTGGAGACAGACTCTTCCCGCTCAGCCATGGAAACCATAGTGGGTGGTCATGTGCAAGTCACACTCTCTCAGCCTCAGGGGAAGGCAAAGGCAAACCCTTCTCTGAGGAAACTTGCCCAGGGTCGCCATAAGTCAGAAAAGGACTTGAAGGGGGACACAGAGGGTAATAAGACCTGGTCCTCCTTTTCCAGGACGTGTCCTCCATTTTGAGCATGACTCAGAAGTGCGAATTTATTTTTCTAGGAGTGCTTTTTAAGCTTTTATTATGCCATGTCCTCCATTCTGCGGTGCCTTGTCCTCCTTTGCTGTTAAGACATTTGCTCCATGCTATGGAATTCTGGGAATGGCAGTTTGTTGTTCTGGGAATGATAGTTTGCCTTGGGTAAGTCACACTCTCTCAGCCTCAGGGGAAGGCAATGGCAAACCTCCTCAGAACCCAAACAAACAAAACTGTAGTAATCGATGGAGACTGAAAGAGTCCTAAGGCTCCTTCCCCAAAGGCTTAGGATGGGACTATAATAAACAGGGGGACCAGAGGTCCTCCTTTTTCAGGACCTGTCCTCCATTTCAACCTCCAGTCCAGGAGGAATTTTAAAAAATTGTCAAGAGGCCCTCCTTTTCTAGGACATAGCCCTCTATTTCAGCTTTATTCTTTCCAGGAGGAATTCCAAAATGTCCTCCATTTTGAGAAGGACTCAGAAGCATGCTTTTATATTTCTGTGGGCGCTTTTTAAGCTTTTATTTATTTGCTCACGTCCTCCATTTCCGACTTATGGCAACCCTATCATGGAGCTTTTCTTGACAAGATTTGCTCACAGGAAGGAGGTTTGCCATTGCCTTCCCCTGAGGCTGAGAGAGTGTGACTTGCCCAAGGTCACCCAGTGGGTTTCCATGGTCGAGTCAGGATTCGACCACCATTTTGTGGCGCCCTGGCCTCCTTGGCGGTTGTCAGGGCCTCTGGTCACACAACAAAACAACCACAATAACGGAAAAAACCGTCAAACGGTGGAAGAGCAACGATCCCACAGAGAAGAGGCTGGTGACTGTTGCTGCGCGCCTCTTCGGAGCTTTACGCCCCCTCGCTGGCTGACGCGCTGCGCGTGACGTAAACAGGGGGCGGGGCCGAGGCTTCCCGTTCCTGCTCTGGGACACGTTTCCCGGGACGTGGAGTTGGGCGGCGGGAAAGCGGCGGGCGGAAGGACCCCGGGGAGGCGCTGCCAGAAGGACGGCTGGAATGCGGCTGAGGCGCTGGAGCCAGCGTGGCTTAGTGGTCTGAGCGCCGGACTAAGATTCTGGGGACCAGGGTTCGAGTCCCACTGTGTGACGTTGGGCGAGTCACACTCTCTCAGCCTCGTGGGAAATCATGGCAAACCTCCTCTGAACAAATCTTGTCGAGAAAACCCAAGGAAAAGCTCACCTTGGGGTCGCCATAAGTCAGAAACGACTGGAAGGTACCGCAGCACTAGGACTCTGGAGACCAGGGTTCGAGTCCTGACTCGACCATGAAACGTTTCCTTGAGCGAGTCACACTCTCTCAGACTCAGAACAAATCATGCCAAGAAAACCTTATGATCCATTCGCCTTAGGGTCGCCGTAAGTTGGAAACTACTTGAAGGCACACAACACTTGGACTCTGGAGGCTAGGGTTCAAATCCTGACTCAGCCATGGAAACCCACTGGGTGACCTTGGACAAGTCACACTCTCTCAGCCTCAGGTGATGGCCATGGCAAATCTTGCCAAGAAAACCCTATGATCCATTCGCCTTAGGGTCACTGTAAGTTGGAAACTACTTGGAGGTGCACAACACTAGGACTCTGGAGGCCAGGGTTCAAATCCTGACTCGGCCATGGAAACCCACTGGGTGACCTTGAGTGAGTCACACTCTCTCAGCCTCAGAACAAATCATGCTGAGAAAAGCCTACGATCCATTCGCCAATGTAAGTCGGAAACGACTTGAAGGCGCACAACACTAGGACTCTGGAGGCCAGGTTTTGAATCTTGACTGGGCCACGGAAATCCACTGGGTGACCTTGGGCAAGTCACACTCTCTCAGCCTCAGGGGATAGCAAAGGCAAACCTCTGAACATATCATGCCAAGAAAACCCTATGATAAATTTGCCTTGGGGCCATCATGAATCAGAAACAACTTGAAGAAACAACCTGAAGGCACACAATAACAATAACAACAATGAGTAACAATAACCAGTTGCATCCCTTTCCTCTCCTTTCTCTCTTGCTTTTGCGCCTGTTTGCACAGAAGGTGGAGTGGTTTGAATGTTGGATTAGGAATCTGGAGACCAGGGTTCGAACCTCAGATGGGCCATGGAAAACCACTGGGTGACCATAAGTGAGTCACACTGTCTCAGCCTCAGGGGAAGGCAAAGTCAATCCTCTTCTGATAAGACTTACCATGAAAACCCCATGATAGGCTCTCCGTAGGGTGGCCATAAGTCGACTATCATGAGGTTTTCTTGGCATGCCATTGCCATCAGTGTGACCAAATATGTCCTAACAACCACCAAGGAGGACAAGGAACCACAAAATGGAGGACATCCAAGAAAAACATGACAAAAGAAAAGCTTTAAAAAAACCCACTCATGGAAACATAAATCCATGATGATTTTATGTTTTTGCATTTGATTATTCTTGTATCATTTGCTTGTTACCTGTATTCTATTTTACATTTATTACTTATATTGTAGTTTGTTTGTTTGTATTTTACCTTAATTATATTGACTTGTGATGGCTGATAGCTTTTAGCAGTAAACAAACTCAGAATTCCTGCTTCTTAAGTGATGCTCAAAATGGAGGACCTTTTGGGATTGCTCCTGGACAGAAGGCCAAAATGAAGGGCATGTCCTGGAAAAGGACGATGACTGGTGACCCTGCTTGCTATCCTCTCAGGCTGAGAGAGTGTGACTCACCCAATGGGTTTCATAGCCGACCTGGGAATCGAACCCTAGTCTCCAGATTCATAGTCCAACCGTCAAACCACTACACCATTCAGGAGGAGGGCAAAATGATAATCTTATCCAGGATAAGAATTCATCCATCCATGAATGTATATTTCTTCATTTCCCAAATTTCTTGCATATAGGAAACCTATCCAAGGCTTTGGATTTCTAGCATATAGCACACCTATCCAAGGGTTTGGATTTCTAGCATATAGCAAACCTATCCAAGGGTTTGGATTTCTAGCATATAGCAAACCTATCCAAGGGTTTGGATTTCTAGCATATAGCACACCTATCCAAAGGTTTGGATTTCTAGCATATAGCACACCTATCCAAGTGTTGGCCATGTAGCAGAGTACAATAACATCCAAAATCCACAAAACCATGATACCTTTATTGGGCCAACCAAAACGCACGATATACATCTCACTCTTCTGTGGATTTAGGGTGTTATTGTACTTGGCATATAGTCATAACTTTTAAAACTTAAGTGGAGCACTTACAAATGCAAGTCTGGGCACCTAAAGAAATGGGGCTGGGAAAAGTAACCAAGGGAATATGTTTCTGTGTGATTTCAAGTCCTTTCCGACTTATGGCAAGGGATTTCTTGGCAAGATTTCTTCAAATCTTAGCAAGATTTGCCTTTGCCTTCCTCTGAGGCTGAGAGAGTGTGACACACCCAAGGTCACCCAGGGTTTTTTTCATGTCTGGGCTGGGAATCGAACCGTGGTCTCCGGAGTCGTAGTCCAATACTCAAACCACTACACCACGCTGGCTCACAACAGTAGATGCAGAGTCACATAATTCACCTAAATCCAATTCCTAATCCCAGCTACAGTAGACCCATTGAACCAGTTGCTAAACCATAAACCAATACTTGCAGAAATCTTACTGATTGGGTGGGACTGGCTAGTCTAGTTGGATTTAGGCCCATGCCGTGTCCCTTAAGAAGAATATGGATATTGTCAGTCAATGATAAATAGTCACTTACATTGAACAATTGTGCTCTGTATCCTTTACGAGGTTTTGTCTACGGAAGTGTGTGCATATTGGCATACTGCCAGGCGCTGAGCCAAAAACTCAGCTTCCCAAACTAGCACTGTTTGTGAATTCACACAGCAAAGGAAGCACTGTGGGTTCTGTGGTTCTTTGGCAGTTATGAGCTTCTTTAGAAAGTCTCTACATGGAGGTTCTTAGAATCATGGAGATGGAAGAGACCTCAGGGATCATCCAGTCCAACCCTGTGCCATGCAGGAACTCACAATCAAAGCATCCCTGA